AAAAAAAAATACTAAACATAGCAAAAATACAACAACAAACAGAAACTAAACCTTAGAATATTAAATGAATCGGAATTAAACAGGTCCAATTACATAAACACTGGATCACCCAGTGCCATGACATTACCTGTTTAAGAATTACTTACAGAAGCTCAAAAAGTAACTAAAACAAAATTAAACAATTTCAGGGTGGTTTTAACAGTTAGAGGAAAATCCTGGAGATAATTCATTTATGTACGTTATTTTTTTTTGGGTCGGGGGGGGGATTTTCAAATATGGGGCCTAAAGAGATGGTAGTGCAAGAGGTTAAAAAAATGCAATGCAAAGTGCAAAGGGCAGCAAAAACTTCAGGAGTGGCCAAATAAACAATCTAGTACATTCATGAAAAACAAATGGACTGACCAGCTCAGGACCATAAGAAGGCCTGAAAAACCACAGGAAAAATGTAAGTGGATAATCATGGTATTATTTCCATCGTTAAGAAAAACAACATTCCAACATCTAATTGAATAAATGATACATCTACCTCAGGCGGGCAGACATGTTCTGATGTGTAGGGGCTATACTGTTTGCTCAGAGTACGCAAAATGCTGCAAAACTGATCAGACGGTGTTTAACAATGCAAACGGATAATGACCCATTATTACAAATATTTGATCCAGCTGGGTAACATAGTAGTTATACAGGTCTGAATTTTAAAGGTTTAAAGTAGACAGTTACAGGCAAACTCTGAATAGGACATGCCGTCAATCTGTTCCCTTTAAACTTAAAATAGCTGTATATTTCTGCCAACAATGTCTCAAAAATGAACAAAGTTAAGTTGAAAATAAGTTAAAGAACAGGCATACAACTTTTAATTAACTTTACCAAACATTTCAACATGCTGCCAAATGTAGTCACACTTTTTGTTTACTTACAGAAACTGAGGGTACTCCAATATCGTCTTTATTAGAAACAGATAAATGGTTTTATAACACAATCGCTGCCATCACAAGAAGCTGCAATACTGGATGTCAAATTGAGCCAATGTGGCAGCAGGAAGCTGCATCATTCAACACTTTGTTTGGGTAATGTTGGACCTGACAGAGACAAACCGTGGCTCCTCGGGGAGCTAGAGGAAGTGCTGCTAAACAGATGGCTGGGTAATAGGTGCTATTCAGTGCCAGGAATCACAGTGTTCTCTAATTATCTACTTTCTGCAACTTCGTATATAAACATTTCTGGGGAAACTTTCATTGTAATCACCAATATTTCGTTATAACAGTGTGAAAAACAGAAATTATGTTTATATCATGTTAGTGAGTAAACTGAAGGATAAATAAGCCAAACATAATTTCCATTTAGTATTCAAAGCTGTTTTCTCCCCCACTAAAATAATGGGATAATAGGTAGTGATGTGTCGGTCACGAACAAAACGGCTCTTAGAGCCGGATCTTTGACGTGAACGACGCGAGCTCCTTATCGCGAGCCGTGGGTTTTTTTTTTTTCTTTCTCTCACCCTCTCTCGCACTTTGTTTCTGCTTCAGTCAGCATGCGAGCCTTGTGCTTTATGCTGGGGTGAGGGGTGAGGGGCGGTAGTTACACTCAGTAGCACAGGAACAGAGCAGGAGGGAAAGAGAGAGAAAGAGCCAGGGACAACAACGTCACATTAGAAAGGTATAGTGATCATCCACAACTATTTTCAGTTGCAGATGATAAAGGATTCAGAAAGTTTATTCGTGCAGGCCTATATGACAGAGAATATGCATCTTCTTTTTGTTTTCATATTTTAATTTATATTTAATTGTGTTGTAGTTTGCAGTGTTTTGTGTTGTTTCACTTTAAGTTTGTAAAAGGAAAAAGCTGAAAATTTTAAATAGTTAAAAGTTGAAATATGAATAGTTGGTTTTTGTATTTTATGATTTATTTATTATATTTTATGTGGCGTGAATAAATAAAAGTATATTTACGGTGGCCCTTAGAGACAAAACACGTACAAACTCTGAAGCACATAAAAACTCAAAATATGTACAAAAGACAACAGAAGTGCTCCAGGATGCTGGGCGCAGTGTTGAACTTTTGTTACCTAGTGGCTACACAAGCCAGCAAGTACCAACGACCGGATTTGGTGTGTGGTAATAACAGGTAAATGAACTTTTTTTTAAAATTATTTGAATATATATGAGTGCTTGTGTATAAATACACAAACATACACATATGCTTTCAATTGTGTAATTTAAGTGATCTAGGTAGCTGCTTTGGAAGTTCAGTTCATGCTAGAAATGTGTTTTGGAGTTTGTACGTGCTTTGTGTCTAGGGGCCACCGCATATATTTATATATAAACATATATAAATAAAACCAGTTTTTTTACATTACTAATTCCTTTTGTGCATAATTTTATATTATTGTTAATAATAAATTAGTGAAAGCAACAAAACAACCTGAAGAGCCGGTTCAGAGCCGAAAGAGTGGGCTCTTTTTAGTGAGCCGATTCAAAAGAGCCGGTTCTCTAAAAAGAGCCGGAAATCCCATCACTAATAATAGGATAATGGAAGTGTCTAGTATCCATTAAACATTCACAAACACTCTGTCTCTCTCCTCCAGACACACACATTAAAAAACACACACACATAAACACAGAGAAGTTTTGACTCACTGGTTATTTATGAAGGCATATTTATTGATGGTCTCTATGACAGACTTGAATGGGATCTTTGAGGTCAGAGTGTAGCCATGCTGGACCATCGGCTCTCCTTCGGGACCATCCCAACAGTCCACTGTAGGAGAAGAAGGAGCAATGATTCATAAATACTGAAACTATTTATATACAGTTCTCTCCTCGGAAGAAAATACAGCAACACAATGCTACTGCTGTGAGTTTTTAGTCTGTTATCGCGGTTCAACTTTCCATATGGGAAACAGAAAATGTATTTGAATAACCTTTGATTTCACAGCTCTTCTGCATGTTTTTGAATGTTATGACCAGTTGGGATATTACAGGTTGTAAGATTGTGTTTTATGTTGAGGTGAAGCTCTTTTGTCCCCAAAAGGATCCATGCAGTGAGAAAAAACACACACAAACAACATAATTTAGTACATGCTGAAATCAAGATCATTTTTTACTATTATGAGCCACCAAACATTTTTGTCTAATTACGGTACTACATTTTCACTGCAGTCATACTGATTAGTTACAATATGAAAGGCTCAGGTGTTACTAGTTACATTAATGAGGGTACTGTTCTACAGCATGAACCATTAAGCAGTAGACCCAGTGATGTAGTGTAATGGAAGTCATCTATCATCCATTTGAACATTTTTACCTTCCTTTTTCTCACTTTTTCCTACATGCTTAATGTCTTCCGTGCAATGGGTCAGATCACACATTTAAATAGAGCTATATCTTTACCTTCTACACAGCGGCAACCAGACTGCAGCACCCAGGCATACATGTCAGTCTTGGAGTGGGAGAGGAGCTGATCTCCAGTCAAGTAGGTGTTATGAGAGGAGGCGATGAAGTAGTTACACAGAGGCTGGTCCATGTCTTGATTTACCTCATGGTGCAATGGGTTGAAAATGTCACACGTTGGACAGCGCATGAAATTTGTGAAACCTGAAAGAAAAATATGAATTTTAATTAACAAAAGAAATTACAGGGGAAAAATAAACATCCATACTGAAACCATAGTTTCAGTTATGTTTTACAGCTTTTGTGTGAAATAGACTAACCCCCCTTTTTATATATATCTTTATTTTTCCTAAACTAGTAAAATGTTTTTTTCTTTTTTTGAATAACAATCCATGGGATTATTTCAGAACTTCTACCCACATCTCTTGATCACCAAGTCAGTCTCTACAAAACTACAAATGGATCACAAATAACTCTAAAAACCACAGCGCTGTGGTTTCAAGCCACACTGTTAGATATACTTCACATTGTTAACTTTTGGGGGGGTGGTCCAGCATGAAGGGGAGTAAGAAGGAAGAAAGTTTCCTTTCATCCAGCGAGAATGCAAAGAAATGAGACAGGAATACCAAGAGCAAGCGAAAATAAGGAAAAGAAAGGAAGGAAGGAAGGAGAAGCAGAGAGTTAATGTGGGGAAGCAGACTGAGGAGGGGGATTAAAATAAGAAAGAGATTAAAAAAATGTAGCATAAATTTGGTGATTGATCACATGTGCCTGACCATGGTATATTGAGATTAAGTTTAGATTGTAACAACACACTTGGAGGCATGAATATTAACATCTGTTGGAAACACAGTTGTTAAGAGACCAAAAACTGTACAGCACATCTTTTTCTTCATGCCATAGAAAAACATGTACATCCTGTGACTTCTGTTTGGACACCTATGATTCAGAGCTGCAACACGGTAATACCGATCTGGTTGGCCAGACATACAGACAATGGCGGACTTCATGCCTCAGACGACAAGATTAGCCTTACCCCCTTGTCCTCCCACCCCTCATCTACTCTGGCCTCACTGACTTTTCTCTTTTCCACCACCCACATTCTGATTTGCCAATTTTCACACTTTGGCTGTCCTCATCCATCCTCACGCCTTCTCCTCCTTTAAGGTCACCCTTTGAGTACATGGGATGATACTTGAAATGACACTCAGAGATAAAATCAGAACCATTCACGGTCCTCCTTTTATAGTTCCCATCATTTCTTGCTAGCAGTTTATAGAATTTCTATTATGAGGATTGGAATTTACAGCCAATATTAAGAAAAATTGTTTATGAATGTCAAATATTTTTATGAATTTTAACCTGGAGACATACAAAGGGTAATATAATGTTTCATAATTTAATTTTTATTTTTTTTAACTGGCCCCTTTGTTACCTCCAAATAACCAAAATGACATCAACTCTATCAATAGCTGGTCTTGATCTTAAGAGTATGAAAACTAATTGCAAATAAAAGTATAAGCATTGGTGTTGCAAAGTGATGATGTGCCATGACAAACACAGGGAAGGAAAGAGAGAGGCTGACAACGTCCAAGATTTAGAAATGCAAATAGAAAACTCTGAAAGGGAGGATAAAGAAGTTAAAGTTACCTTCAATCCCCATAACGCATTGTTGTTTATTTTCTTCTGACACTTCAAACTTGTCAATGATTTCTGCAACATACTCTGGAGTCACATTGGTCATCTATACAGAAAAAAAGTAACAGAAAATGTGAAAAGACCTATATTTGCAGCATTTGAAAGGCAGTAAATACCCAGTTTCATTTAAGTCTAGAAGGTCAAGGTAGTCAGTGTTACTTCCCATTTTTGTACTAAATTCAGCAGCTCAATTTTAGAAACATATTAACCTGAGTATATTAGGATGGGAACAAAAAATGGGGCGTGATGAAAAATTACACCATTGAAATGTAAGAGAAGTAAAAACTCTGTAAGAAAAAGGAAAACCTTGAGAAGAAAGAAAAAGAGCATAGAAAAGTCATATAAAACAAGCCAAGTGCTCCCATGACACAAACCAATTTTAGATGCAATACATTGGCTTAGTGGAGCAGATTCCTCTGGGCAGACAGCTTAGGCAAAGGGAGTTAGACACTGGAGCAACAAGGAGAGCGTGAATAGGAATATAATGAATCTCTTTTCTGAGGCCAAATTAAAATTAAGAGAGCTGATTTTTGAGACTCTGGACTTCTCATTATAAAACTGTGATGGGTTTTAACATCCTTTGCTGAGAATTCGATTGGCGCACCTTTTGCTCGTTGTGCAGGAAGTTGACCAGTTCTTCAACTGTCAGGTGGTCCTTCCTATCGCTGTATGCCATCATCAGCAGATACAGGTCCCGTCTCAGAGACATCATCTTGTAGAAGACAGAGAACTCCTCGTATGTGAGAGTGCCCTGTTGATCATCTGTGTCTGCTTCCTGTGATGATGACAGAGTGATATGTCATTGGCGATATGACGATAGCTTGGAAAGCCTATTATTTTCATGCACACTCAAGCTCTGCAGTGTGATTATCAGCACAAGGCTTCGCTGAGACAGAAATTCTGCTCATTGTTTCACAATTAAAACTATTACAATTGAACGTTGTTGTACTCTGTGTTATGTTAAGTTAATCTTCTTCAGTTCTGAATAAATCTACCGTTGGCGCTTGTTCTTCCCAGTGAAGCTGTAGTTCAATGTGACATTTTGTCTGCAGTATGAAAAGTGCCATGAGTTCTTCCCACCTGTTAATTTATATGTTCCTTGATATTTGATCCAAATGATCATAATGCAAGAAGTTACATATTCCATGTCCTATAACTGAAAAGCTATTATCCTACCAACATGCAAATAGTCTTAAACTGTGCAGGGGTGCACACGGTAGCTGCATACTGTCTCATCCTTTTACACTCATACAGCACAGGTTCACACTAGCACCAAGCAGACACCATGGACCAGCATTTTTTCTATATATAAACACATTACCACTTTCTCTTTTTTTTTCTTCCGAAACTCATATCTCACTAGATGTTTCCAGGGGACATATACAGCTGGGCTCGCTCCTTATTCTATCCTGCCACCACGCTCCACCAACATCTCATATTACCTGGATCTCACGGAGGCCCATTCGACACTAAATCTAATAATACTAGCTAATGCCTCCATCGCAATCCCATAATGAGTTCACTGTGAGCATTGGGGACTCGATCATAGACAGAATCTACACACAACGAAAAGGAGAAATCACTGTGATTGACTTGGAATACATGGACAGAAAACAGACAGACTCTGGATATTTTAAGCACCAAAAGCTGTTCAGGTGATGATGTCTCCTGGTGCGTCACTGGAAAAAGATATATTGAGGAAATTTTCTTTCTAATCTAAATGCAGAGACTGAACACTTTCCATGTATTCCATTGTGAGAGGATGAAACATTTTGAGATTCACTGTATCATCTGTGAACTAATGAAAGACTGGAGAAGAGGAGGCTTAAAGGGGTTAATACTGTTCAGATTTTTCATATCAGCAAATTAGATTTATTTTAAAAAGTGATGTAATTCTTGGCTTAAATAGGGATTTACCGCACAACATGTTCTCATGAAGAGCGATTTAAAAGCTTAAAGGCACTGAAACCATTTCTCAGCCTCTACATCTGAGCAATAGGCCCACCAATGATTTCATTAAGTATGGTTTAGCTGAGTTTTTGTTTTTGTTAAATTGAGAGAACAACAACACTTCTCTGATGTAGTCATACCTGAGCAACTTGACAGTTGTGGTCCTAGTTGCCTATTGTGCCAGGACACCTACACAGGCAATCAAGCAGTTGAGTTTTATTTTTTTGATGATGGGATGCAAGAATTAATTAATCGGCCCAGTTAATTAACAAATTGTCAGATTGTTGTAATTACTTCTGATGTCTTTGTGGCTGGATACATTTGTTGGGGAGGGAGTACCATGTGTCATTTATGTTTGTTTTTGTGGTACTTAAAAGTAGAGATGGACCGATCCGATATTACGTATCGGTATCGGTCCGATACTGACCTAAATTACTGGATCGGATATCGGAGAAAAATAAAAAATGTAATCCGATCCATTAAATATCACGAAAGCACCTCACAAAACTTGCAACACGCCGTAACTCGCCTCAGAACGTTAGCACGTCGGAGCAGTATGCATCACGTGATAGAGCGGCTGTGGCATGCGGGACCTGTCGGTGGTCTGGATAGCATTTGGAGCTTCGCTAGCAACCCGGCATTTCATCTCCGACAAAGTTATCCCCGAGAGAAGTAAAGCAAGTGTGTAAGTCCATCTCTGAATGTTTGTAAAGCATTCCTGCGTTAAGCTTAACAAGCGATATATGGAGCGACTGCCTCTTCTTGCTGCTACTTCAATCATGAAACTGCTTAATGATCAGCTGATCGGCTTTTCTGTCGCGAGTCCGTCGTCTCTTAGTTTGCTTTTGGCCCACTTTGCACCAGAAAGAGGAAACCAGCGGCTGAACAACAGCAGCACGTTTAAGCTTGATAAGCTGTTGTTAGAATTTATTTAATATTACTTTCTACACCAGGATCTTTTTCTACGTAGCTGACGGCTGGTAACTGTGCAGGGGCGGATCTAGCAAAGTTTAGCCAGGGGGGCCGATTGTGCCCCCTTTTCACTGTTCATGCCCTAAGACATACTTTTCTTTCTTATTCTCATTTAAAATGTCTAGCTTTTAATAAATAATTATCTGACACCCAAAGTTTTAATTTGATGCAAAATGAATAGAAGTCAATTACTGTATATAGTACTATTAAGTCTAATATATATACCCTAGTAAGCTATAGTACTTTTTCCTTTGGGAAGGTACCATCTGTGCAGTCTGCAATTTTGTTGAAGAAAGATGTTGAATCTATTTAATATTTCTTGAAAAATAATTGATTTCTGTGCATTTTTTTTCACACTGCATCAAATTAAGGTTGATTACGTCGATTAAGCATCATGAGGTGGAGCTGAGGGGTGGTTCCCTATTTTTTATTTATTTATTTTTGTTGTTGCTGGGAGTTGGAACCCTATTAGTTAGGTTGCTTAATATTTATGCTAAGTACTCTTTAAAATACCAGAATAGGGAGGATGGTGTAGGTTTAAGTTTATTAGATTGATCAGTATTGCTGAACTATGAAATATTTTTTTTTGCATACAGGTATAACAGAATAGCTTTAGTGTAGTTGTTGTTTTAAACTTGAGTATGAACTTATACAAAATGCAGCAAGATATTTAAAAAACAGTTTTGTTGATTAAAAAACACTATATCGGATTCATATCGGTATCGGCAGATATCCAAATTTATGATATCGGTATCGGTATCGGACATAAAAAAGTGGTATCGTGCCATCTCTACTTAAAAGTAAGAGCTTTATTTTTAATGCTGTACGTTCCTAAAGTACACAATAATTAACATTAGAAAAGCCTGCGGTATATACAGTCTGTGGCAGGGGGGCTACAAGAGGGTCCAATCCTGCCCACAGAATGGCTTTGAAAAATGTGGCCATTTCAGATGAGGAGGGCATAAAATGTGAATGTTTAACTGTATTTACAGTCTCTTTTTTATAAAGATATAAAAATTACTGATCCATTAAAGGTAAATAATAATAAAAAATAATAGAAATTATCTGTGAATTCGCATATAATTTATTGTTGCTGCATTGCTTTTTAGTGTAGAGAAACTAAAACCAAGTTGAAAATGGTGTGTTGAAATTGCAATAATTGTGTACTTAAACTTATTTAGACAGAATGAAACTGGGCTGTATTTGCCCCATGAAGAAAAATGAGACTGACACTCCTGGTGTCTGCAGCCGGTACATTCCTCACTATCACTACTGTTCTTACATTAAAATGTTCTTTTCCTATAAAATTATCTCATGCATGAGGGCTAAAATACTACTAAATATCTCTAACATATATATTTGAATTACACACAGGCATAATAATTACAACAGCTGAGCTCCTCTAATGTGCTAAAATGGAAAACCTTTATGTTGACCTAAATATTTATATACAATAAATTATATAAATTCATTTGGAATGGTTTCATATTCTAACCTGAAACATTTGCTTGACCTTCCTGCGTGGCAGATTGACATTCAGCTTATGAAGAAGTTGGTAGATTTCGTCAATGTTTAGCAGGCCATCTCCGTTCTTATCGGCCTCTTCAAATGTCTGCTTCATCCATGTGAGACACACACACATTAAGGAAAAAGACGTAGGTTTTATGTTTCTAGGTTTATAAAAATTGTCAGGATCATTTTTTGCATTTCCACTTGTTTAATAGGAAACACTGACAAACATGGATGAAAAAAGTTTAGGCAAAAATATGCTGATTGCCGGCTTTAATAGTAGAAATAATTTTTTTGACGACGTGCATGAATGCAAAGTTATTTTCTCAAGGAAAACAATTATACTTTGCATTGTGGTGAAGAATTGTGCATTGTGGTTTATTTTAAAGGATTAAATGTTTCCTTCTGAACTTAAAAAAATATGAATACAAAACTCTTTTCCTTCCTAGAAAACCAATGTTCATGATTTCTCTGTAGCTATTTGTTTAAAGGATATTGATCGTGTGTACGCTGGCGTTTGGCCAAAGAGTCCTCATCACTGATTCCGGCCATCAGGTAGCGAAGACCAGTTATCCAGGTTCTGGCTTCCTCTGCATTTGATGTCACCAGGTCAAGGGACTCCATGTGGTTTCCATGATAAACAGTGAAACAGCAGGCAGGGTCGAAGGTGCCATCCGCATGCCGATGGAAGATGTCCGACTGGCCGCCCTCTGTCACCTTATACAGTGAATCGATGGTGACTGATAGTGAAAAGAAAAGATGGAAAGAAAGGAAAAAAATAATAAATTAAAAAGGCAGCTTTTAGGTATCATTAATAATTGTCTCTCTAGTTAATACTGAATAACAACTTAAATGAAAGGCTGCTGATATGAAACTTTTGAAAAAAAAGTAGCTAGTTAGTTAGTTGGTATAATAGGTATTATAGTAATAAAAACTAAAGCTTTGGTATAACATTGTTGGTAAAAAAAAAATATATATATATATATATAGATATAGATATAGATCTATATCTATATATATATAGATATAGATATAGATATAGATATATATATATATATATAGAAAAGTGATAGAGTTATGCCATCTGTTTACATTTAAGACACAGACATTTATCCCGTGAATGCACATTTGCTCTAAATTAAAGTGTACTATAAAATATTGATGTTTAATCTTTAGAAAAAATTAAAAAAGCAGCACCCAAACACTTTTTTAAAAAATCAATAAAAAATTATATGCATTTGGTTCAGTTTAAATTTATTTATATGGAGCCAGTTGTCTCAAGGCAATTTGTATTCCAAGGTAAAGACCCTAAATTATTAAAGAGAAAACCCCAACAATCACACTATTTCAAGTTAGCAAACACTTGGTGACTATAGGACAGAAGAACTCCCTTTTAACATGATAAAACCTGCAATCTACCATCAGGTGGGGGCTGAGAAGAGAAATAAGGAGAGAATAGAGTTTTTAAAGACGAATTCTTAAATAAGGTTGAATGGGCTTGAGGGCTGGAAGAGACAGGATGGAAAATTTAAAGTTCATTATTTGCTGACAAATTGAAAAAAAATGGATTAACAAAATTAATTGTCTTTAACTTCAAGAAACAGAAGAACCTACAGAAGCATAATGACAAAAACACAAAGCCAGCAGAACATAAAACAAGGGATAACATGAAAAGAACATGAAAAGCTTTTTGAAAAATCACCATGATTAAAAAGATGCCAGTTCCTTCACACACTGCTTTTATGTGAAATACATAAAGGCAGAGAAAGAACATAAGCTGCTCCTATACGCTGCAGAATATCACAGCCTAATGAGATTTCAGTATAAACCCAGCTAACTATGAGTCTGTGCCTTTGTGAGGAAAGAGAGAGTGCCTGCAGTAAACTATGACCTTTGCTGAATCTAAAATCCACTCAATGCATCACTTCAAGTTGCTGCTTTTTTCCTTATGTCTATAAAATGTTTTGTTAATGACTCTCATCAACGCACAAAGCCCTTTACTCAGAAGAGTAAACGTTTTTGTTTTAGCATAATATTTAAATGACTAATTAAAGAATTGATGAGTTTTTCATTAAATGAATTGCCTCTCTACTCATCCTAAAATCAATTTTGTTATGATCCATTCCAAAATTATCCACCATCACACTCTTACCATGTCACTTCCTGTTACATTATCTCATCTCTGAAATCCTGCTACAGTATGACAGAAAGTAACAATATGGCCGCCTTGTTTTGATACTGCTTAGAAACACACACACACTTTCAAAGAAATATTCATGCAGCTGTTGTGTGTTTCTCTTAATCATGTCAATGGAGAGTATCTAAGAGGCTTATCTAATGTTGACAGTCTACTCACAGACACACACAAACACACACACTGCCATGTACACATTTAAGGACAGGTCCATAGACAGATGTATGCCTCAGTGGGTTGATATAAAATAAAAAAGTGCTAACGATGCTTTGAGGGGGCCGTGAAACATATAACGATAATCCTCTCAGAGCCAGAGCAATGTGGCAAACTCAGATTATTAAACTTCAACAGACATTCCAGGAAAAAAAAAAAGGTTTACCGCTGCAAAAAGAAAAAGGAAATGGCCACAATTTGTCAAGCACTTTGAAACACGATATGTGCTAAGAATAAATAAATAAATAAAAGTATTATTAGTGCTATTATTATGTAAGTAGAAATAATCTTATGTTGATAGCTTTTTATAGCTTTAACTGTTGAGTATTGTACTAGAAACAGTACAATGTCTAATAGTGCAACATCTGCGTGATCAGACAATTAGGCATGCAAAGAGCAGAGTGGGGTTTGTAATCTCACTCTCATTTGTTTAGATCTAAACAACAAAAGCGCCTTGTTTCAACCCATAGCAGATTATTTTTTTCTGTATTAAACCAAATCACAATCTTTCCAACAAGTTACACAGGTGTAAATAACAATATATAATACCAATGCCATTATTTTAGGATTTGTTTTTTGTTTTTTCCAAATTCAGCAATTCATATTAATAATCTAATGAATGCTGCAATATTTTTTGGTCTTCTTTAGGCCATTGTTAGGAGGCAGCTATGCAGCATAATGATGTCATGATATATCACAGCCAATTCAAGTTTTGGGTATGTAAACATGATGTTACTGTTGTGAAATAAAAATGACACAATGCTTTCCTAGGGTGCTAAAGATGTATAAAAACAAACAGGTCAATTTAGCCTGTTGGTATGCAGTAGCTAGGCAATATTTTGATATCATAATATCTGTATCCATAATATACATAGGAACATTGAGGGGCCTAATATGTACCTTTGTGCAAAATTTGGTCAGCTACTGATTTTTTAAGAGAACTTCACTGAGATAAAAACATTTGTGTGTTATAGTAAGATGCAGCAATCTTAGAATATTACAGTAATGCGTGACACAGTACTTTAATAGTAGCACTTTATAGCACAGTCTTGTTGGAGCTAGCGGTGAGCAATATACTCTATGTATCACAAGTTTTTCCACGTACAATGGTTAAAATGGCTTTATTGTAACCACCGAACATAAATTGCACAGGCAAAATAAAGCTGTCTGCATGTAATTGACTGAGTTTATTTTTTCTCCCACACACTGCGAATGCATCATTAATCCACCCCTCCCAACCACTGCGTTCACCATGCGTATTTATATACTATCAGATAAGGAAAAATATGGCAACAGCGTCAATTTCAGACGAGCAAGGGAATGCGACTCGCTGTCGTTTGGATATAACAAGGAGGATGTTGCACAAAATGTGGTAATTTGCAAAACAAGCTGTAAAACTATTGCCGCAAAATGCAGCAGTACCACATATTTATTCCACCAGCTGAAAAGTCATATAATGTAGAATGAAGAATGTTTTAAAGTCCACATTTTCCTCATATATAGAAAATTAAGAAGGACAATCACCTCAGCAACTAAAGGGGCAGGCCAGCAATTTGAGGTGGACTTGAGCAACTAATGGGAAAAATCAGAACATGAAACAGAGAAATTATCTGATTTTTATTAATAGATATATCTCATGCTGCAACTGTAAAATGTCTGCACTCTACTTTGGTCATATGGCATCTTGTGGTAGCAGCCACAAAGAAACTACAAACAGAGTTGGGGTTGATGGATGGGTCCACAAATCACTTGATTTAACACAAAATACTTCTGCTCATTTCTGATTTTTAATCAAAAATATACACTACTTTCAATCGTGAGTATTTCTCACTGTAACAAAAGAGCTTTTTTCAACAAAGAAACCTTTCCCAGAACTTCTCTGGTTGGTCAACTCCTCTCAGCATTTGTTTTCAGTCACTATTTTGCACTCTTGAGTTACAAAAGCAACCATTTGACCAATAGACTAGGTTAAAGCATAGCATGGTTGCCTGTAAAAACTACATTTAAAAAAACATCCAATTTTTTGATATGTCAGGGGATTGGTGTGCTTGACATTTAAGCTCCAGTACAAATCTTTGGACCATAGTGCAAATGAGGCCCAAAAAAAAATCTGTCTGAAGGAGTCTTTTAAGGTCCTCTGTTTTATTTGTTTTTGTGCCTGAGCCTCACAGATGTTTACTCTGAAATCGCATGCACAGACTCAAGGCAGATCACCCATATGGTCACTTAGGTTGAAGGCTTGTACAGTGCTACTTCTTGATGTGCACCTTCAACTTAGACAAACTATGAAAAAAAGTTGTAATAAAGAAGATTTTCTCCATTAAATGTATCCACGATGTTTAGAAATTATACCATAATTTGATAGAAAGCCGGACAGAAGGACAGATGCAAAAATAGTTTGTGTATATTATTTTGAATCTGTGTATCGATGCAGAGGAGTGTGTGTGCATGCACGCATACTCACTCTTGGCCTTCTCACTCTTGCGTGAGGGCTTCCAGCGGATGCAGGAACGATGTTCATCCAGGTAGAAGAGCCTTACCAACCCTTTGGATCCAGCCTTCAGCTTTACCATCTGTGTCCCTGACTGCATAACACTCATGCATCGCTCCACTGCAAATAACGCAGACACACAAACACAAACAAGGTTAGCAGAGAACCGTATCAAGACAAAAAAAGGAACAGGTGTTTGGCTTTAACTGTATTTTCTCAGGAAGAAGTGTGGCAAAGTGTCACAGAGTCACACAGTTAGTAGTTGAGCCAGCAGCTGATGTGGGTCAGACACCAAAATGAACAGAGATTCTTCTGTGTAAACACACAGGGCTGCTTTTCTGTTACCCCGCTGACCTCCCCATGAGAGCAGCTCAGAGAAGGAAGAAGTAGAGCGATCTCAGAGAGAGAGACTTGTCTAATGTGTATGTCTCTGTTCTAAGTTTCACAGAGAGCCTAAAGAACTGTTTGAGGAAAAAAATCTTCACATTATGATGAAGCAGGTGGAAGCTAAGATTGGGCTGCATTAAAGGCTGTTGAATTTGTAACATACCTCTGCAGATTTCTTCAGTTTTAGTGTTTCAGTGGTTTCTGGTGTCTGTCTCTGACATTTCTCCCTCTTCCCCAATCCAGCTGGATTGAATGCAATTCTCTTTGAGGGTCTCACAGTATTGAATAGATTTCTCCAATAAACTGAAATAATTCAAAAGCAGAATCTGTGTTGCTGCTATTCTGGATTATCTACAGACCTCACCGTGAACAGTATGATTTAAATCTATGATTTGTTGATGTTGTCTTTGTGGAGAAGAGTTTATGGTGACTGGATTTAGATGAATTCACTCTCCGGCTTCAAGTTTTGGTGTGTGCACCTGTGCCATCATTCCTTTTTTTTTTTTTTTAAGTACTGTGGCATTTTGAAGTCTCTGCCCATCAGCTTTAACATCAAACACACACACACTTATCGCAAACCGATGCTTAACATTTTCACATTAAACACAGGCAGGTGAAGGTCCACTCTCTGTCAATGCACTGCATCGTATATATGTGTGTCTACACTATACTACGAACTGAAAACTCAATTTCTGGTAGTTATCTACTGGAAAAGGTTCAATTAAAGTGACTTGAAATGAACAGGAGTATGGCAAGAAGAGGGCAGGGTGTTCTGAAGAGGAGCACGGAGGGACTGAAATGATGGTAAGAATTGACTTTGTGTTTGATTGCTTGACTGTCTAGCACTGTCCAGCTTTGAGAAAGGATAAAAGACAAAGCTTCAAACTTTTTACTTTGCGTGACAGCTGGTGGCAGAGATATAGACAGGGATGACAGCAGAGAGAGGGAGAGATTTCCATCCTCATTAGTGGAGTGTGTGTACGCCTCTGCGTGTATGTGTGCGTGCATGGCTGTGCATATTTCATGTTTTCACATAAGTATGCATCATTTCTGTGTTAACATGCATCAGTCCACACATACATGGATGCAACACTTAAATAAAATAGAGAGGGGAATAAAGAGGTTAAACAGAAAAAATGTTATGAAATACCTGAAAGGTTAATATTTTAGTGACAGGTATTCAAATATTTGCCCTTAAAACAAGGCTGACACACTTTTAAAAGCCTTCCCCTCTCTTGACAAGACTGCATTTCATTGTACAGAGTACAACGAACAATGACAATAAAGGCTATTCTCTATTCTAAAGCTTGTCACTGATTGTCTGGTGTGTTTTCTCTCACCTTTATCTGAAAAAAATGTGACTTCTGGTTGAAATGTAAATTGTGTTTACATAGGATGAAAAGGGGAACAGGGAACAAACAAGGAGTGTGATGGTAATTTACTTAATCAGTGACAAGCTTTAAAATCGGACACAATGATTCGATTTATTATAAGGGCTACTTAGTGAAAAAAAGATAATAGGAGGCAGATTAAAATATGAAGAATGGAATAAAAGCAGCAAAATTTGTAACGTATATAAAACAGCTTAATCTTAAATTTTCCAAGTTTGTGCTCCCCCACTTTTAAAAGCAATGAAGTAGCCGTTTAACTGTAAACTATAAGCCATTTCAGTAGATTATGGTGATGAGTTAATGTCTGACTTTAGATGTATAATGTGGAGCCACACCACAGGCTGGAGCTGAGGAATTCGCTTCCCAACCCTTCAAGATGGGAGGCGATTAGTGCCAAGTGTAACACTTTGTATTAAGGTATAAGTATTCACGGTCAACTAGTTATTAGGATACATAGTTGTAGCATTAGGGCCATTTAGAAGTCCTTATTCAGCACTTATTGATGTCTTATTCAGCATTACTGTATTCTATAATTGCTTGGCCATTAAGAAATTTCCCCACAAGAACCCTCTGTGTCTAAAAACTGATGAATTAGTCATGAAGAGATTACTTTGGGATTGGGATCGAATTTAAGGGTATATGGACAACTGTAATAGACCTAACAAGATGTAATTCATGTACTTTCATGGGGCTGTAATTAAGAGGTTACTGATAAAGAGAAAAAAAAGCTTAATTTTATAAACCAAAGTGGATCGCTGACAGTTTAAAACAAGAAATAAAACATACACTTCAGAGTTTACTTGTAAAGAGTTACTCATAAAACATTAAAAATTTAGTGGTGCTGTAAGGTAAATGCCAATTCTTCTCCTCAACACAGTATATAAATGAAAGCAAGCTCAAGTTCTCATGTCCCATTTCAATGTCTTGGATCAAAAAATAAAATGTACTCAGAGAGAATTCATGCTAAACAAAAACTTGTCACGGTACTTGGCCGTGAGGCCCAGTGTTTGAGTTCTAATGCATATTTTTGTAGTCACATGTTGTAGTTTAACGCATCTAGTTGATTTCTAGTTTGCATTTTAGTCCTTGGTTTCTTAGTCCCTTTTTTCATCTCTCCCTGGTCCGTGCGTCGACCTGTCATGTTTCATGTCTGTGTGGCTCTTATTGTCAAGTTTGTGCCATGTCTATGTCTCTGTGTTTCCTGTTTTATTTTGGAAGAGTCTGGTGTTCTTTGTTCATTGTAGTTAGTGTTACTCTCCCCTGTATTGTCATTATGTTTCATTCTAGTCAGCTGTGTTCGCATGCGTCTCCACTTCCCCTGATCACCTCATGTGTGTATTTAAGTCCTCAGTCTTCCTTTGATTGTTGTCACATCATCTGTTCAACTTCACCCATGTTATGCTGGGTTTCAGGACTCTGTGCTGGTCATGTCCATGTTGCATACGTGTATACATTTCATAGTTCTTTGTTGTTCCAGCACAGAGTCCTGTTTATAGTCGTCTCAGTCATATGCATCATTGTCTCCTTGTCTCAGTCTTCCCTGTTGTCTGAGTTAAGTGTCAGTTCTTAGTTTTCCCAGTTCAGCTTCTAGTTTAGTCTTGCCTCGGTGCTTTCAGTTTTTTGCCACTTTAATCAGCCAAAATAAAGGCTCGCTTTTCGTTTCAAGTTCAGTACTGTCTCCTCGTCTGTGTCTGCACCTGGATCCTCACACTCCCACACACGGTCTGCCCTCCGCAGACCGTGACAAAACTCTCAACATATCAAAACATTTTTTCATATTACAAACACAGCAATGATATTATTTAGTAAAAAGTGCATGTTAATGGTTAAGATGTTAAGAAGAATACAGTTAAAAGCATACATGATAATAACTAGTATATTTTTTCTGCATCAGATCAATGGTGAAGGAACCTGAAGACTCAAAATCATCAGGGTTTACAAATAAAGAAAAACTGCATATCAAAATTTGAAAAAGGTCAAATATAGTGAAGTTGTATTATATTTGTAATAGCAAATACACAAACACACAGAAATAAATTTAAAAATGCATTTTTTGATGACATGAGTGATTATCTTTAAAGACACCAAAAGTCAAACCTCTTGTGGCTCTAAAACACATATTTAACCGTACTTGACAGAGCACACACTCAGCAGAGCGCTGAGTACAATCTGCACTCTCTCTATCCTGAGGAAAGGCTTAGCAATGGCACAAATTTGGCTTTCAATACAAGATGAGTTCTTTTAGTCACAGATGCTCACTCCAGGGACACAACCGTAAACATATGAGTCCAATAGCTGCATATCACTTCGGAAGGTTCACAGCACATTATGAATGCAAAGATGGTCACACAGCCTGCCATGTTATTAACACAAAAGAGAACAAAGATCAAAAGATACATACAAATATGTGCGAAGTACACAACAAGCTATTTACTCTAACCGGCAGTTTCCAGCAAATCAGAAGAAATATCAATAGTGTTGGGGTAGGACTATGTTTTAGACAACAGTAATGGACTGCAAGGGTCACCTTTTATAAATGATAAGCTTGAATTTCAGTAAAAGAATTAGTAATGTGAACATCTGATATGACAAATGGGCATGACTAAGATATAAAAAGGAAAGGGCAGCGTCACCGAGTTAACAAAAATATATTTACTCTTATTAGATTATGGTAACAAGATTTTTGTTTTTATGTAAATATAAAACAAATACAGTTTTTGTTCTCTGTAAATGACCCACCTCCACTTTTGCTTATTATACACCGGATGCATTTGTTACACCATTTTCAGCTCTTGTTACATAAATGTTACCTGATGCCATACTTCTGAACTTACTAATATTTTTGCATGAACTGCTGTTTTGGTTTCTTTTCAACTGTTTTTTTTTTAACCATAAAAACCAACCATAAATAATAGTAAGAAAAAATGTTTCTTTTAACACATTGGATAGCTTCAAAAGCCCCTCACTTGACTTTGAAGTTATTAGCGAGTGGTTGATGGACGTTACCAGCAGTCACTTGGTGAAATCCGTCGCAAACAGCTAAATTTCCTTGTGATTTCTTTGATTCTGAGCGGATTGCTGCAGTCACTGAAAAAACTGTGTGGAAGGCACCAACTTGTTTGTAAACATTAGTCAGCTATGCGCTAAGTGACAACGAAACTGCAAAGAGCACCAAACAAACCAGTAATAGAAACGCTTGCCTTCATAGTAAAATTTTAAACTTTTACTTTGAAAGAACTTTACTTTTTGATTTGCGTCTCACTTTTATAAGTTTCACTACCAGTCAGCAAGCAGTTGGGGAGTGTTTATAGAAAAGCAGGTGTCTTCCATGCAAACTACAAGTGATTGTGGCAATCATCAAACTAAAATCAGGGATGCTTTTACAGCACGCTCTTTGCAATCAATTTCATCAAATTACTGGCAGCAGCCACTCGCCAACCAGTCAAGGAATGAGCGTTTTCTCTTGGGACCACAGGTTGCCAGGGGGTTGCCAACTGGTCTTTAGGCCTGTGGGACCGAGGCCTAAATCAAACTGAGCAAACTGTCTAAACTTGTTTGGGAGATTTGCTCATTAAGCTCCTCATTGACAGTGCCCTAATGAATAAATTAATTCACAATGACATTGAAATATTCTGCAGTACATACAACTATTAGCTATAATACAACCAGAACCTGTGCACTGTAGTTCAGAAGAAATAGAATCTCAGGCACAAGGTTTCATTAGACCCACTAACAGTTATATAAACACTATACGCTATTTTTCTATACCCAGCTTTAAGCCATTTTAATCATTTATCACAAAACAGGGAATACCACAAACTTTTATATCAGCTCATAATGGATGAGTACTTTATGGTGTTGCAAAAAGCCTTCAGGGCTGTAGAAAATAATGGGACACTGAAGATGCAGAGAGATTTAGAGAAAAGAATTAATCAAAAACAAGAAAATAGGACATGTTGCATTATTTATCTCTCATGGCCACTTATGAAATCCACAGCTTCATTAACAATGGATTTCAATGGATGGCACTGTCACATGTGGGTTTCCTGTAATGCTAATCACATCCACAATCTTTTTCCGGGTCTTCTCTCACTATGTCAGACTGTAAAATCCATGACTCAGACTAGACAAGCTCACAGCATCACTCTGCCAGCAGTTGGATGTGAAACATCACAAATCAGCCCCAAAGTGAATAAATGCTATTCAACAGCCCTAGAAAGTACATGCCCATGCTCCCACTATTCCCTCGGAGCATAAATATGTAAAAATGTTTTTCAGAAAGGCAGTCAGATATATTTCACAAGAAAATTCTCAAAGGGAATACAGAAGTCATTTTTTTATTTATCCATCCAGCTCAACATCAAAAACAGGCAGCTTTCCAGAAACAGAAGACTGAAATCCAGGTATCATTTCATCATCAGTTTGTGTTGAAGCGCAACCTAAAGTAAGTTCACTTCCTCCCTTATTGCATCTCCATTTTTACTCTATTTTCTTCAATCCATCCCTGCTATTCCTTGACCTTTCTGCAGGCATTCTCCTGTCACTCTGTTTTCCATCTGCATGATAAGCACCACAAAGAGCCAAATCTCAAACTTAGGCCAAAAGCTGAAAAGCAGAATGGAAGAGAGCAGGTGGGTTAATATGTACACAGGAGAGGGGAGTCAGCTCATAATAATAGATGAGAACTAATTTAAGTAGCTCTTTGAAGATCAGTGATGTTGAATGAAATAATCGGCGGCCTGAACACCTTGACATTCATCTCTTGTCCAATTTCTCTGTTTAAACCATCTGAGGAGCAGATATGAATTTTACCATTTCAGTTCACATTTGTAATTCTTGTCTGTTTCTTAGAGACACCTTTGCAAAACTGAATTCACTGCCTTTTTAACCCCACTTGACATTTTTATGTGAATTATCCTCTGATGGTGGATCACCCTTCCAAACAAAAGGATTTTAGACACATAGCAGCTCCATCCAAGTGTAAAAATGTGATATTTTTTTAGCTATATGAGAGTAGGGAAAATATAAAGAGCAGCCTTTTTTCTACTTTTTTAGCTTCCATTTCCATTGAATGAAATACAGTTGCTACACATGCATGTGCTGCTGTGTGAGTGTTTATGAGCGTGCACGCATGCATGTGTAAAATCTCATCATCTCTGTCGGCGCACAGCAGAGAGCAGATCAAAGCTTTGTCTCTCCACAGAGGCCAAGGAAATTCAAACATATTTTAATGGGGTAGGTGATGAAGACGCCTCTGTGATAACCTGATGAACAAAGCCTGTTCTTACTTAGATCCATATTATAAGGCCTGGAATTGCAAACACATAATACCTGGTATTTGATTATCAGCTCAACAGCTTTCATTAATCTTTTTCAATCTTAACTGTCATTTTTTTAATCTCAACACTGATGTGAGATTTTTATCAGCCGTGGCCTCATTTGACTGTCTAATATACTCAGGCTAATATTTCAATTCTAGTATGGCCCTACATGAGATCTCTGTTAAGATTTGGTCTAAGGGTGACGACTAGAATGGACAACAGTCCACAGATTTATCATAATTTATTCATAACTACATAAATTCATATTCACCAGCATCTGCCTGATACTTCATGCACTATTCATGTGGCATAAGGCACCAACACTCAAACTATCTGAGCCAGTTTGACTACTGAAAAACAAATGCAGCATTTAGACAAGAATAAAGCTGTCCGAATGGAGACTTCTGCCCGATATCTTTCATGACCTGCAGGTTTTGTTTTGTGTACGCAAGTTGATTCAAGATGTGAATCGGTCTCGGTTGATTGGCTGTCCAAAGGACAAAATGAATTATATTTACACAGCATTACAATGTGAGATAAAATATGCAGAAATCAACACACAAACTAGACAAATCTTTCCTCATGAGGGCTCTTCTGCTGGTTCAAAGTTATGGTAGCTGAAAGTGAGCAATTTGATTATTCTGGGGATATTCCATTGCATAAACATGAGCTCCTGCTCTGCTCCTGTGCTATGAATAGCACCAGGATGTGATGTGTTCAATATGCAATATGTTTGTCTTCATGCGCAGTTTTAGAAAACCTGTACAGAAACACAAAGATACCAGTTTTTCACAACATATATCAATTTAAATATAAAAAAGTCAGCAAAGGATGATGAAAATCCAGTCAGCTCTATTTGTTTGCTTCAGTCTGCATTATTGACTCGATCCATACACATACCTAAATCACACAGACATCACAGACATCAACTTACCAGTCTGTGTAAGCCTGCATTTCTGTGGTACAGCCACGGTGCCACCAATGTGGTATATGTTACGCGCCAAAAGGGTCGCTACTGTTAACGCAGCAGACTTTTCAGCAGGACCGTGAATAAAGGTGGATTGTACTTTATGAGCAGACAAAGAAGTTGGACCAAAAAGTGAACAAATTTCCTCCATTTCCTCGGCAAAAAAAATCCAAATTCGCCTGTAGGAGTGTGCCTCGGCTCAGTCCCAGTATGAAACACACTCAGCTTTTGCCTGTAGCTAAACCTTCTGAAAACCACTTGCGCTTTTCCTCAAATTAGGCTTGACGGACAGCGCGCACTCTCTCCAGACAGTAAGCCTCCACACTCAAAACAAGAAGCAAGCACACCAACACTCCTGCTGTTCATCTTCCTCTGTGGTGTGCTCTGATCTGTAGCGTCACCTTCATCTGACAGCCTTCTCTCTCTCTAAAAATACACGTTTCCACCTTTCGGTTGGTCATCTGTTCACCACTCCCGCTCTTCCCATCCACCTCTCTCTGATGTTCGCAGGTCTTTCAGAACATGTGCAGCTGTGTGACTGTGGCTGCCAACATGCTACTCTGACACACAGATTTGTATTGTTGTGCAGTTTATGGAGTGATTATGAAGAGCATGGGATAGTGCAGATTTCTGTCTCTGTATTGGCAGGGTTCATTAAGGTCAACTAGCGGGATGCAGGGATAAGAATGATGACATAACATTCATGATAATGCATTACCAAAAGTAAGATTTAATGGGCTGGCATGTGGGAGGAGTGTGTGTGGGGATGTGAGTACAACAGGAAAACTCAGAGATGGCACATCTGTCTATCTTGCACTAAATGCTCTGCTATTATACACAAGCCCCCTCCTGGGGGTAAAGTCCTCTTCTCTCATTAAAATTTATTTGATTAGGCGATGAAAAATGCCATTTGTTAAGAGTAACATAATGCTGTAAAAAAGGACTCTATAATGTCATTTAATTAATGTGCTCATGTGTTGTTTTTCATACCCTAAATTGGTGTTAAAATCAAACTCAATGAGCTATAGAATAGCTCGAGGATATGAATGGCTGCAGTCAGGGATGGCTTGGGTCTTTCAGGCTATACTAAAGTACAGCTTTTTTCTCTCTCTCTCTTTTTACCCTTGAGCAGAGGAGTCTTGGACTGATGCGTCTCTTTTCTAGCATAATCTAGCAAAATAAATTAAAAACCAATTAGCCAAAACATTTAAAAACTAGACTGCTAGTATTCAGAACAGCTGCACTTAAGACAAGAAGAGCATGCTGTGATGAAGAGAGGCCAGATGCAATAAATGCTCAAATACAGAGATAATAGGATTCGTTATCGGTCACTGTCTCCTTGAAGATTGGACAAAAAAGCTTGAGAAAGGAATTCATACCATGCTTAATGTCACACCTCCGCATGCATGAACTATAGCTGTTTGGAGATGAAATGCTAGTTGTTAATTTATCATTAGAAATACAACTTTGGAAATGTAGTGAGGAGAGCTGCTTCAGACACTGTTCAAAAAACAGTCAGAAGATTCATTCTAGCCACAAGTTTAACAGATCAAAGCTGAATGGGATCATCTGTGCCTGCAATCATGAAGGGCTGAGGAGGAGAGGAGGTACAGCGAGGAGCTCTTTAAGTACAAGAAAGTCATGCTGTCCTTTACTGCTGACTGTCCTGTGTCTGTGTACAGCACCACTGGCACTAATGCAGACATTAACGTTACACTGTGGTCATTGCAGAAGGGGATCCTGTGGTTCTTTCTGCTCGTGTTTCTGCTGAGGCTGCAAAACCTCTGTTGGGAAGAACCAATGTACCAATGCTTGGACTACTTTGACAAGGAGAAGGGCTTCCAGCTGAATCCTAAGGTCCAAGAGACCATGGTGGATCTCCATGGTGACCATGTCTGCTCGCCAAGTTTTCAGAGCCAGTTGGTTGCAACAGTTAATTAATAATTAAAATTCACTTTTTGTTACATGTTAATATAATTTTAAAGTAAAGTTGTTTTTTTAAAGGCGCATTGTGTTAACTGAATATATTTACTTTTTTCCACTACAACCAAATATTTAATCTTTCTTTGACACAAGTCAGTGAAAAGAAAGAGTTTTGAAGTCCCTTTCCAAAATTGTAAAACTGCATTGTACAGAAGTTGAAATCAGATTGAAATGTAACATATAAATAAATATATATGTGAGGCGAGGAGTTTCCCTTTGATGGATCCAAATCTCAAGAAAGGTGAAAGTCCTCATGCCAGTTTTCAGTGTTTCACAGAATATTATTTCTGGAGGTATTTTTTCTTATTCCTTGTATGCAATTTTCTTTATGCTGTATGTAATATAATATTATATAGGATTTTTATTTGGAATATAACATCCACAAGAACCAGTCTGTGTTTCTAAGATTAGATAATCAGGCAGATTGGGGTTTTTTCTTCATATCACTGCAACAGAATAGATCAAAGATGATAAACCCCAAATTAAACTTCATATAATCCCATCACATCTTCTTCTTACATATATTCATGCGTTATATCATCCAGTCTCCATCCTGTTTCGCTGTTCCTCTCAGGACATTCAACAGCTTATGAAATTAAATTAGTGAGGCGCACAGCTCTGTGACAGATGACGACTTCTGGAAATCAGGCCGTAGCATGGTGGGATGAATGCCCCCAGCTCATTTGTGACACTGCTGTTTCTAATGCCTTGGCAAATTCCAAATTCCATCACCTGCTCCATCAGTAAGCTTCCCAACAATGTGATTACTGGGTGAACATAATTTCTAGGATAACAAATCCTGATGTGGCGTTTAATTGATTCACTTTGTCTTGTTGCATGTTTCTGTTCATAGTGATGGTGGCCTGGAGCCATTCCGAGTATGTATGAGGTGGAAAGCAGGTAAATAGCCTGAATCTGTTTGTCAGTCAATGCTAAAACAGAGAGACAGACCCTCACATTCCTAGCTGTGGGACAGCTGGAGTATAATCCACCTGATGTGTGATTGAAAAGACACACAGGGGAAACCTGTATGAATGCAGAGACAACATGCGGACCACATGCAGGAAACGCTAATTAAAGAACTGCAAAGCTGCACAGCCATGACACATTTTCTGATGTTCCTGTTTTAAATCAAAACAGTCATTTGCTAATATATGCAAGTAAATATTCGACCTTTGCCATTTCTATTCCTGCATACACGGAATTTTAAAATGCACAATATGAAAAACTGATTAATAAATGTGAAATCATCATAACTATATTCTCAGGGGAAAAATAACTATGTAATAACAGTTTGACCCACAATGTCAGCATAAAAAAACTCCATTGTATTTTTAAAAGTACTGAAATCTACAGCGAACTCATTGTCATCTTCAAGAAACCCTTTTGAGATTGTTTGAGCTTTGTGACACTGTGAGGTGGAAGCATCTAGCAGAAGATGGGTACACTGTGTTCATAAAGGGAGGGACATGGTCAACAAGAATACTCAGTTGGTACTAAGGAGTCTAAAGAATAGCCTCCTTATTATGACATCATGACCAGCAGACGGACCCATTAATACAAGGCAGGATGGATCCATGCTTTCACATAGCTTTCACAAGTTTAAACAGAGTTCAAACAAACCTCAACAAAAAACATTTTGCCTTCTAAAAGCAGACATATGGCTGTTTTATGATCTACTGCCCCCCGCTGTTGTTTAGCAGTGTTGCATTGGGCAATTTCATACTAACACTAATAATAATATCGCTAAGGTTAAGGTTAGGTTGCGTTTCAGAAACTAAAACTACTTACTCCTTGTTAAGATATGAAAATAAAATATTTTATCCTACAGTGGAAAAATAACTGAGGTGTAAGTTTTGAGTATAGGTGCAAACCAGTCTAAACCGACTATCCTGCATCACCACGGGAGTGGTAGCATGGATTTATGATACATAATTACGGCACGTAATTTTCTTGTGAAAGGAGTAAAAACAGAAAAAGCCACAGAATTATAATCCTAATCTAAAAACTAAGTCATAATTAACATAATTCTGAGATAATAACCTCTTGTGTGGTGCCTGTACTGGCTAGTTCTGTAATCATCACAATGAACTAGACTGCATCAGTCCCAAACTTTTGAGCAGAATGAACAATTAGCCACGTTAATATCTGCGTTGATTTGAACACTTTGTTTTGTGTTTTACTTAAGAGTGTTTTACTTAAGAATAAACAGTGAATGAACTGTATTAGAAGTGTCAAACATACTGCCCATGAGTCAGAACATGCAGCAAAACTGCAGTGAAGTCAATAAAAATCATATTTTGCTATTAATTCAGGCTCTGTTTCACTGAATTGTTGCATTTGTGTCTTTTTTCTGGCTGTAGGCTTGAATGTGTACATGAATAGTTGTCTCTTTGTCTTAGCCCTGCAATAGACACCATGTCCAGGGTGTACCTGACCTTTTACCCATGGCAGCTGAGATAGACTCCAGTCCCATTGCAACTATGAATTGGATAAGCAGAAGAAGACTAATGCAAGGATGCAAGATATGTGACATTGTGAAGAATTTCTTATCGCTAGTAAAAGAACAGATTGTGCAGAATTTAACCAAATAAAATGTAAGAGCCTGCATACAAATTTCTTAATTTATTTTTCAATTCTCCCACTCCAGTCTCACAAGTTTGCAGCAGAAGCTCAAATTAGTTTAAAAAAAGAGTCTGCACGCAGACAAATGTCTCTCAGCCCCAGAGTCAATCACAAACACCTGGTATACAAAAAAACAGATCACCATTTGAAGGGCATTAAATTCATGGAGGGTTTTGATTCATTAGTTTCAACCCAAAGATCCAAAGGTAGAAAAATCACAATTGAAAAAACAATCAAAAAAGTCACACCCATAAATGAATGAATGAATGAATGAATAGCTTAATTTGTTAGTCTATATCGTACTATGCCCAGGCTCAACAAGGCTACACAACAATGTTATGATATGAATATTGCTAAAACATTACTAGTTTTCCATTTCCACACTTTATTTCTGTGTCAGTGCTAAACAATCAAATAATATTCGTGTATCTGAGATCCGTGTGTCGGTGTCAGTCCTGCCTCATAACAACGTTTGTCTGAAATTAGACAGGATTGCTCTGTTGGAGGTAAAGGGGGAAATATTTCTTTGTGTATATTAAACTCTTTTCTTTATTAATTTATTCACTATAATAAATATATTATTAATTTTGTGTTTGCTGTAAGCCAAATTTAGGTTACCTGTGTTGGCTTGCTAATGAGAGTTTTTAAAAGCATTAGTTAACTTCCTGGCTAATGATAACTAAATGCTCAGTGAGCCAAATGAGCAATAACGATGCTCCTGAATCATCATTATAATGATGCAGAAGCAACACCAATATGGTGATTTCAGATTGTACGACTCCAAATCTGATATTATTATGCGACTTTACTCTGACTGTCAGTGCCTGAGATTGTGGCTATAGTAATAATAATAATGGATTGCATTTATAGAGCGCTTTTCGGGAACCTCAAAGCGCTTTACAATTCCATTATTCATTCACTCTCACATTCACACACTGGTGGAGCTACAGTTGTAGCCACAGCTGCCCTGAGACAGACTGACAGAAGCGAGGCTGCCAGTCTGTCCCAGTAGGTGGTGGGTGAAGTGTCTTGCCCAAGGACACAATGGCCGAGACTGTCCAAACTGGGGCTCGAACCGGCAACCTTCCGATTACAAGACGAACTGCCAACTCTTGAGCCATGATTGCAATGTATAGTATGGCTGGCTGCATTTTCTAATAAAACAGCCCACACTAATGTTAAAATTCTGGGCATGTATTTATGTCTACATTTCCTGCCTATATATAGGTTGTTAATGGCACTAAAACTAATCGACTTGTCACAAATAAATGGCTGCCAAGATAATAATCTGCTGTACTATTTGTCATTTGTATAACTCCAGTGCTTTATATTTGACAGCAACATGGTGCCAATAGGTTTTAACTAGGATCTGGAGTGTACTTTCAAATAAAATTCCTTTTAAAACAAAGTCATTACACAAAAGTTCTAGGGTAGAGTTAAGAACACTTGGTAAGGCTTCTTGTTAGCAACATAAAAGAATACACACTCACTCTTATGTCGCAGTCACTTACTCCACCTAATTAAGAGCTCTTAGGGCAATGCTCACACTGCCAGTGCTACAAATGGGTTTCCAGGTTCCCTCGGGTGCAGTGTGGAGCAACTCCGGAATAAAAATAAACACACGACAACTGCGGCATGATAATGCATTTGCCAAAGCTGATACAGGGGGTCCCCGAGCGGAGGAGGAGTGACTTCAAAGGCGGGAACTGAACCCTGCATGTGTGTCAGTGCGCTTTTTATGTATACATTTGGTATACGATTGTTGGCTGTTCGTGCAGTGATTGAGCTTCTTCTTTCTTCTTCCCAATGCCAGGAAGGATGATTGAGATGTAGTATCTCTAGCAGAGCCAGACTGCCATAAAAACCTGTGTGATCTCAACAGTTTCCCAAAAAATATTTGAGAGAAGATATGATTGCCTGCCTTCTGCTTCTTATCAGGGAGGCCGAAAAGTGTTGAATAAAAGCAAACTGGACCTCTGGGTAGCTCATTAAAGGATGAAGGGATGAAAGGAAATTAAATAAAAGCCTGTATTTATGGATAATTTCCTTTCTATTTCCCACTTAAAACGCTAATACGGTGTGGTAAATGCGTTGCCTGGCTGCAGATTCATGCTGACAATTACCAAAAGAACCCCAGTAGGTTTAAGGAGTTGGATTTTTTTTTAAATCCAAGGCAAGAACAGATGTGATGTGCCAGTTGCTATGTCAGCACGCAGGCTGATAAATTAACCCAGCAGCAATTAAATTTTACTTCATATAAATAAAAAAAGAAGATCCTTTTGGAGAAAGAAGAAAAGGAAAGAACATTACTAATAAACAGGAAACTGATTATTGCTAAACTGAATACACTGGAAGCACCTATGCAGTGGAACAACTAAAGAGACATGGGTCCTTTTTCCAGCAGTACCGTGTTTCAGTATCATATTATATATACTTTATACCTTATTGAAAAATTGCCTATTTAAAATTGGACGAGATTGGTGGTATCATATTTATTTCATTTCTGTCAGAAGAGAAGAGAAGAGAAGAGAAGAGAAGAGAAGAGAAGAGAAGAGAAGAGAAGAGAAGAGAAGAGAAGAGAAGAGAAGAGAAGAGAA